TCCATGTAGCCACGTTTTTTGATGCGTTTGATGCTATTAGCTAAAAATGCCACTAGCTTTTGTGACGCCAGCAGTCTTCTCCTACGCACCTTTGTTCATGTAAGCCACGAGAGCTGCTGAAGAGATGAGAAGTAATTCCCTCTTCTCCCTATTATCTTAACATGAGAGGAAATTGGGGAACAGATTAATGCTTCCAATGCAGGTTTACTTTCCCACAGATGGGGACTGGTCTGTAGATTCCCCCTTCTCCTCTCTGTGCTCGCTGCCTCCTCCGTGAGCACTGCCCTGCACCCTACGTGCGTCTGGTTCCTTCACTATAGAAGTAAATGTGCAGTCCCCTCACAGAGATGCTCACCCACATGAGCAGTTACTTTTGTTGAGGGGGGGGATTTACCCCTCCAGGAAGGGCAGACTTGTTGCCCTGGCTTAGGGAAAGCCAAGAGGGAACAGTTACCTTCCAGGAGGGGACTATTTCGAAGGAGCGGGTGGTTCTTGCCCTGGCAAGTTGCATATTGTCTGACTTGCCCTGGGCTCCTTGGAGAGTAGGGCTTGTTTGTAGTACTTGGCTGGCAGGTGGGGTCCCAGCAGCAGTGGTGTGCCAGGGTGCTGCTGTTGCAACTCCCTTTCAGGCGAGCTCTGCTGGAAAGCTTTTATAGTACGTGTATAGGTCTCTTCGTTCTCACAGTGCGTTTTTCCAGGCTCAGCAAAGCGTGTTACTGGTTTAATAGTTTAAATGTAATTATGAGGTATCCTCTGGGGCTCCTGACTTCTCTTCATTGCTACTTTAGTGAGTTCTTCAAAAGTTGATTTTCTGGACACGTGAATGTCTCGTTTTTAATCCTGGTAACGTGGCTTCTTCAGATAACGAATACTAGTGCTGCTCTGGTCTGGCGTTGGGTTATCTTGTGGAGGAGTCAGAGCTCCCGTGTAACTAGCCAAACCTGAGTCTCTGTGTTAGTTCAGAGATGTTCATTTGATCAGACAAGAAAAAATTCTGCCCCTGAGGCAGAGCTGGAGAAATGGGGCTTTGTCTGACAGGAGCAGTCAGACGCTGTGAAGAGCTGCAGCCTGCGGCTCAGCTGGTCTGCAGCCAAATACGACTTTCTAAGAGCTATCCAAAATCCCCTGCATGCCTGGATACGAGCGATCTCCCCTATTTGCTTATTAGCGTGATGTCTGTAGGTGTTTTGTGTGTTCCCCAAAAGCACCTGGGCTACAGGCAGGAGCAAAGCAGCACAAATGTCCAAACAGATTGGCAATGAAAGGCAGTGGAGTTGCAACTTTTTTCGCTTTGCAAATGTGAACACTGTTGTTTTGTTTCTCTTCAGTGTTCTGGGGGAAGGGGAAGCAGTAGATAAGGTTACTTCTGTAACCTAAATCCATAACTTCTTACAAAGGTTAAAATCCCAGCTAAACGCATCCCTTTGCTGTTTTGGAAAAACAGTTTAATAATTCAAGTGGAGCCCTTCTACCAGCACATGTCCGTAATTAGTCCTGTCATTGCCAGTGGTGTGTGAGGATAACAGGAAGCTGGCAACAGAGCAGATCTACAGACCTAGTAAGGAAAAAAAAGATGCATTTTACCCCCAGGTGAACTCTATTGGTGAAAGATGTCAAGCTGAAAGTCTTAGACAAAGAATTTCTCTCTTATCTACCAAATATATATTCAATGTAAAATTCTCAGTTTCTCCCCTAAAGCGTCTTCTGTTCCTGAATGCAGAGGTGGTTGCTGCAATATCAGAATTGATGGTTATGCTGTGGCTCTTCAGCTTTGGAATTGGCTGGTGACCACAAAGGCGAGCACAGAGTCAGTGGGAGGAGAGCGGAGAAGGGTTGGCGATGGGGGGATGTGCTTTGCAGAGATGTGGGGGAGCAGTTCAGGTGGAAACTCTGAGGAACTGGATACCTGGCTGCTCTCTGAAAGTTTCTGCTGTAACTGCTGCTCAAATGCCTTTTCTTTTTTAGTTCTCTAGGAAAATGGAGCAGTTGTCAATGAGACAATCGTTTTCTTAGAAAAAAAACAAAGCAAGCTTGCTTTAAGTGTTCACTGAGGCAGAGACGTATGTAACGTATAAAAGATTCCTGTAACTCAAGGGGTATTGTTTTTGTAGTCATTGAGTGAGGAGAAGTCCAGACCCCTAAAGTTGTCTTCATTCCCCGAGTCCCGCAGTTGTGCAGTCTAGCCTGTGGCAACTGTCTTGAGACTCCTCTATTGGCCAGTGTTCTAGGTTATATCACAGACCATTAAGAACAAGATTTTAAAAATGGTAATAAAAATAGAGAACTATTTAATACAATTATAAACCATTTATTTACTGTCAGGCACTTCCATTGTGAATGCAAATTTTTTTCTTCCTCACAGCTTACTGCTTGTCAACTTTGCAGCTGCATGTGAAAATGAAAAGGCCCAAATGACGATGAACACGGTAAACTCCCTTCCCTGCGCCAAGGTTCTGTTTCTCTGTTTTGGGGAATTTGAATGCTTGCTTCCTTCTTTGTTTTTCCTGAATTGCTTTTAGAAGAATTCATCATTCAGAAGAAAAAAAGACATTATCTAACTTTGTGTCAAACTTGAACCAAGTGAAAGAAGTAAAACAGCAAGTGATACAAATTTCTTGATATCAAAGTAGTAGTATGCAGAAGGCTACTAGAGTCCTTCGTTTGTGAAGTTACCAAAAGTAGCCAAGTAACCTGTGGTCATTTTGTCTTTCACTTGGGTCTGTTAATTTAGAATATCTAAATAGCGTCAGACCAAGTTGACTCTTAGGTATGACACTTACTTTCAAGGATGACATCCTCAGATTAGATGGTGCTGGTGATAATGTAGCTGCATCTTGAAACCAGTGTGCAAATACTGTAGCAGCCCTATTTCAGCATCTTGCTAATGATTAGTCAGAATAAATGCAGGCAAGAATTAGAAAAAGTTCTAGCCAGGTTTAAGAAAAAAAAATGCAAAGAAGTGTAGTTGACCCTAGCCATAAGCCTGAATGAGAAGAAGCGTTGGAGGCTGTATGGAAAATTTTCCTTCCAAGAGAGGCACTGCTTTTCATAGGTTCATTCTTGCTTTTTATCAGGCTGTTGGTTGGGGAGCATTTCTGTCCTTGTTATACTTTGATAGCTGCTGACCCTGTCTTAGTTGAAGTGTCCTTATTGGTGCGCCAGGGTATTCAACTAATTTTGAACTTCCTTTCTCTTTTCTTTTTGTGCAGTAGGGAACTGTAGCTTATACCTTTACCCTTGCAGGTGCTGGGAAGCAGCCCTGGATGTGAAGCGCTAGTGAGTCCTTGGATACTGAAATCAAAACAAACAAGGGTTTCCAAGGTGGTCATGACCCTCGTTCTCAGTCATCTGAGAGTTTGTTTAGTAGTGCTGTCGTTCATGGCAAGTAAATATGAGAAAATGCAGCTGGCCATTTGTAAAGGCTTTACTTCAGGTAGCTAGTTATTCCAGGATAGTAACTGGAATCCTCTTTTTATTGCCTTACATTTACTAAATATTTTCTTTTCCTGAGTGTCTATTAGAATTGACTGAGGCCTTGTTAGTTCTGCATGAAGGCCTGGTTAGCACTGAGCATCTCAGAAGAGGTGCTGTACATCTGCAAACTTCTCAGATACTCTGAGAGAGCTGGCTGTGCTTGGTCTTTTCCAGCATCAGGCTTCGAGGTCACAGGTGGTGCTGCCGGAGCTATGAAACGTGTGCCTGGGAGTGTGACCACACTGCTTCTCTCATGGATTTATACAATATTGACTAATTTAATTCTTAAGTTAGTCTACAGGAAGCCAAATCTTGAATTTCAGTGTTTTTCTCTGCAGGAGAGAGCAAAGCGAAGAGCCAAAAGCAATAGTGCCCGCAAAAACAAAGCAAATAAAACAGGCTTGGACTTTCATAGTAATCATGCTCCAATTGACAAAGAGTCCTATATAAGATGGTAGATAATGCCCAATTGTTTGGAAAAACTAGTTACACTTCATTGTACAAATATTTTTGTGCAAAAATAGAATTCTTTGTGTGAATGAGACAAGAAGAAATTATTATGTTTTTCTAGGAATGGCTTCTAGCAACGCAGTTCCTTGGTCTGTCAAAGATGTAGAGTCTTCTGACATTTGAAATGAATAGAACAAAAGCTGCAAAGTTTTGGGCTGCTGGTGGGAATGGAATGGGAGTCTCACGGAAGTAGATCAGGAGATTTGATTTGGGCTCATTTTGAATAAGAAAAGAATGCAAGTTTCCTGGTGATTGCAGCCATATCATATGCTGTCAGTGTAATGCATTCCGTGTAATAGATAAGGTGGTAATTAGTGCTGGCCATCAGGAGCTCCAGCTGTGCAGTTTAGAAGCTGTGTGTGGGCTCTAGTCTGGCTTACTACTTCTAAAATAAATACATGTATCAGCCAGGAAGTCAAATTTATACTAAATGCGTTAATTGCTTGGCTAAGGGCAAGCAATATAAGGGCATATAGACCCTTTTCCTAGAGCACGCTGTATGTTCTGTGCAGCTACAGTTGCTGTACTTAGTGGCAGACAGTCTGTATCTGAGTATTTGTTTCCTTGCTCTTTTCTCTGTACCTCAGTGAACATTTAACCCAATATATCCTATTCCACACGCAGAGCATTCTGACAAAACACCCTGCAGGATTTTTCATGCCGTCTAGGTGAAATGCGCTTTTCTATTAATGGTGGCTTGCTGTAGTGAGTATCTTGGGAAAAAAGGATGCTGCTTCAGGACATGGCTACTGTGCTTTTATGTTCTGTTTTCATTGTGAGATAATCACAGGCTCTTCTGTTTTAATGTATGCCTCTGAGAGGACTTTTGTTCCAACTGCAGCTCTTCAGCTTGAAGCAGTGATTGGAGCAGGAGACCATTAGGCAGGGCTGGTGGATCCTGCTGCTGACTGGCACGGCGGCCTGGTGCACATACTGGGACTGTTTTGATCAATGCTCTCCTGTTGTTGGCATGACCGATGGGCAAGGAGATAAGTTTTTCCCTTTTATCTCCACAGCACTTCACAGAGTTCCTGGATGAGTTTTCACCAGATGTCCTAGGCCAGCTCTTGAATGATCCTTTCTTATCTGAGAAGAATGAAATAATGGAAGTGGAATTGTCTCCAGCTTCCCCAGCGCCTCTCATCCAGGCAGAGCACAGCTACTCCTTGTGTGGGGACTCTCGGCCCCAATCTCCCCTGACCCACATCTCGACCGATGACAACTTCAATGAAGGTAATAGCGATGTGCGCAAAAGCGATGTTGATTTACTGAGTTCTTTTTTGTTTGTCATGATGATGGAGCAATGAAGTGTTACTCGTATGATGATGATATAATAAGGATGCATGTGAGTATCTGTGCTAATCGAAATACCTACAATGAAATTGCAGAAAGGATTTGTTTATTCACGGTGTCTGCAGACTTAAAATAAAGAAATGTGTTAATTGACGGGGAAATTGCACTCAGCAAAAGTTACTAATTTTGCACTGTTAACATTTTGAATTAAAAGTAAAATGTTTGTCAAAAAGCAATGGCAGAAGGGCAAGAAATGTGCTTGTTTCAAAGTACTCGAATCTGTGGTTGTTAGGATAAGTGGATACTCATAAATCAGATTAGTCAAATGAGGACCACCATGAAGTTTGCATACTGGAACACATGACGTACAAGGAAAGGGTGAGAATGTGGGGTTTGTTCAGCCTGCAGAAGAAAAGGCAGATTGGAAATCATATTGCTGTCTATAGCTATCTGATGAGAGGGTGCAGAGAATAGAGCTGGACTCCTCTGGGAGGTGCACAGTGGTAGCATAAGAGGCAAAGCATACAGTAAGCTGCAACGAGGGAAATTCCGATTGGATGTTAGGGAAAACTTTTTCACTATGAGAGCCGTCAAACATTTCAGCGGGTGTCCAGAGAGGCTGTGAAGTCTCCCTTCTTGGAAGTACTCGAAACTCACCTGGACAAGACCCTGAACAACCTGATCTGCATTGATCTTGCTCTGAGCAAGAGGCTGGGCACTCTGATCTCCAGAGGTCCCTTCCAACTTGCATCATTTTAGGTTTATATTTAAAAAAAAAAAAAAAAATTAACTACAGTTATTTTTCAGTAGTAAGTATCTGGACCTTTTGGGTATCCCCAAATGAAAGGCAGATAGTTTTATTTCTGTTTGTAAATACACAAGTAGGAAAATAACTTCAGATGCCTCGGTTTTAAAACTTGACTTGTTGAAGTCTTGGGTTTTTTTCCTCTTAAGAAAAGAAAAAAAGAAAGCAAACAATTAAAAAAAATGCTCATCGAGAAGCAATTGTAATTTTGTAAAGACATCGTATCTGCAACCTCATAGATTCTGTGGTTGTGGGAAAATAGTGATGCATAGAAAACGATGAACAACAACAGCATTTTTAGCGGTTATGTTTGTAACTGCTGAACTAAAGATCTGAGGGGGAAAGAGGGAGATAGGAGAATGGTGGGTGGAAGGGATCCAACCCGCTTGTTCTGGTGTGAAGATGCCTGCTGGCAGGAAGGGGAGTTCAAGTAAAAAACTAACGGTTGGTTTAAGAGCAAAACCGTGAATAACTGATGACCATTAGAAACAGTCTCATGACAGACTTTCACTCCTAATTATCAGTTTATTTGTTCAAGATTAGCTGTAGAGTGAAAAGCAGTAGCGTAGTAAGCTGCATCATAATAGAGAGAGAGAGAGATGAGTGCTTATGTGTAAGCCTGAACAAGCTAAGCTGTTTGTGAAGATCCATCAGCACATGAATTTCCAACAGTTGGTCCAAGACTCTCTCTTAAAACAAGATGGGGCCTGTTAGAGATTTCAGAAGTTTGTGTCTGTTTCACTGAGCACAGCTAATAAAACCTGTGAGAAGGCTTTTCAAGGTGAGACGGGGTTTTTGGAGATGATCTGGAAATACCATCTACGTAAAGCCTTCCCTTTTTCATTTATGTTTCCAAGCTGCTTTATGTGAATATCTTTAAATTAATGCATGCAGGAGACAGAAGCAGTACTGTGGCAGGAGGACAAGCAGAAGAAACTTCAGATAGAAAGCTTCCGTGCCTCTTCTCCTCATGGAAGTTAATTGAGATAACTTTCAAACTAGTGTAAAAGTGAGCTAGCCTTGTCTGGAGAAAAATCTTGAAGAAATCCATATCGCTGAGACCACTCTGTGATCAATAGAGCTCTAGTCAAACAATGTTTTTAAAAGCCAAGAAGCAGTTACAAATGGGTGTACAAATAGGAAATTAATGGAAGCATTTAATCTTTAGTTCATTCTACAGAATATTTCATAAGTGAGGAGGAGGAGTTGTTCTTGGTTTTTAGCATTCTTGTTTAATCTTACCACTGGAATTGTTCTCGTGACCTTTAAATACCTATTTCGCCTTCAAAACAGCGAAGCTCAGAGAGGGAAATACTTGAGGAAAGTGTGGTATTGCAGTTAACGTGGCTGCCTGATACATATCCAAAGGCATCATCCTGGTGACTTTTCAGTTCTTGAGTCCGTAAGAGAAGCAGAGGGGAGTTTTGAGGGTGGCGGCACTTCAGGGTTTGGCACTGAAAATTAAAAGTGTCTCTGTTGTCAAATAGGGGAGATAGATGGTGCTGTTGACAATGCCAGTGAACTCCAGTCCACGGTGGAGTTCAAGAGCAGGTACTGAGAGCGCCGGTGTCCTGAGGGCGGGTGGCATAGGGTCTGGAGAGTGAGGTTCGTGTGCCTCCCTGCTGCCTGGGGAGCTGGGGATGCATTTGTGGAGTGAAGAGTTGGGAGGGACTGAGAGATGAGGTTGGCTGAGGGGCTGATACGAGGAACGTGCAAAAACATTCACGTCCTCCAAACACTGTCCCACTGAGCAGATTGCTGAATTCCTCCTGCCGTTGTGTTTTCATGATTTTCCATAGTGAGGCGTTGTGCTCCCACTGCCATGAGATGCGGCCCTGCAGCAAGGGGGATCAGAACAGGCTAGCGGGAAGGCTCACGTGGCGGGGCTTGCATGCGTGCATGAGCGCTTGCTGTGAACGTACACACCTCAGGTCAGCAGCAGGGAGGAAGGGAAAATGACACAGAACGGTGCCAAACTGGGTTTGGATGCTGTTTTAGAGCTTAGCTTTTAGAAGGCACCTGTTACGGTCCTTATGGGAGCCCTCATGCAAGCAGTAGTTCTGGTGATGTGACCTAGAGCTACTAGCTCCTTCTAGCAAAGGTGCAATGTATATTTAGATGTAAACTAGCTTTCTATGTCATTTTTATCCAGTTGCTTTTAACTCAGCATGTTTTAATTATGCAACACTAATCTGCCGCTCAGCATCCAGTTACCGTTTCTGCATTGAGAGTGGGCAGGTGACTGCCAAATCCTGTGCTGGAGGCCCCCGGCCTCCTGGTGAGTCACGGCGCGGGTGAATCATTAAACATAACATTGTTGTTGAAGGGGAGGACACCTGCATAAAAGGCATGCTGGGGGCTGGCGCGCTGGAGAGGATAAGCAGCGGTGGGGGAAAGGGGGCTGTTCCACACAACTCTGATTTCCTAAAGGGTAACGTTGCCTGTCTTCTTTAAAAATAGTCTTTAAAATTGCAGTTTATTTCCATAGCAACAAGTCATAATTCAGTGTCATTAGAGACCGTGTGGTTGTAGGCGGGGTTGGGGGGGGAGACGACGATGAGGGCCTTGTGCAAATCCCACAAAAAAGTCAAGTTGTAGGCTGGGTAACGCGTGCTGAACATCTGCAGTAGCGGCCCTTTGGGGTGAGTGGGTTGTCCTAGTGGCAAGTGTGCCGGCCTGGAGCTTCTGTCCTTTTCTGGTCAGAGTAGGGTCCCTGCCAGACAGGGTGCCCCCATAACCAGGGACTTGGCAGAATAGCTCCAGCCTTCGATCTTGTGCCTGCAGCACTAGATTAAATGTGCTTGGGCCAAACTGACCTCACGTCACACTGCTCAGTTACCTACCTTCTCTGTTCCCTTTTAAATCGATGCGTGCCTGTTCTAGGAAGAAGTTAGTCACGTTTCAGAAATATGTCTGTTAGTTAAATAGCACGCAACTTCTGTAATGTTTTTCATTTCTATATTTCCAAGTTATTTGCAGGATTAGGATCCCAGAGGCCCAGATTACAATGCAGTTAAGCAGAAGGTCATTCTTGCTTGCTGAATGATTTCAAAACAGATTTAAGCCACTGAGTATCAATTTCCATCTTTTTTTTTTTCTTCAGCCAGAACTCTGAGAACCTTACTGAAAATGTTATTTAATGTTTCTTTTCAGTCATTATGGTTGAGTGAATAATTTCTCTGACTCTGTAAGTGCGTTCTTACTGACTCTTACAGGGGACCAATTAACTTCTGGTATGAGCCATTCCCAGCTGGCCCAGTAACACAGCCATTACGTTTTTCTTTCTACAGCCATGAAGGTGACCTATTGATATAATTAAACATCTTACGTAAAGTGTTAAAAAGTGCTAGGAGTGCAAAGTCTGGCCAACACATAAGCCTAGGTTTTACTCTTTGAAGTAGCCCTGTTGACCTCTAGTTGAGTGCATGTTTAAGTGTTCATAAGATCAAGATCCTAACACTGGTTTTTCCTACTAATTCATTCTTCTGACTCAACTCTATTGAGGATTTTCCTAGCTTTATGCAGAAGACGTTTTCTGTATATTCACAGGTTAATGCTAAGTATGTGTTCTTTGAAGGTGTCAGTCCCTAAATCTCTAGCTTATGAAAGCAGTGACTAGTATAGCTATTTTAAAGCAGATGTGGGTAAGACATCTGGTATCTAGTTCTTTTTTTCTGGGAATCTATTCTTATATTCAGTTTTGCATAAAATTGTAAGACTAAGGCAACTTTAGAGGGTTATTTATACCTCTGACCTGCTTGCTTACAGTTTGCTGACCATATGCTTTTGCTTGCCTGAATTGGCAAATAAGAGATCTAGCCTGGGAAGGGATACAGGCTGTAATGTGAAAAAGGAGGCTGAGTCCTAGGTACTGATGAGCTGCACCAGTTGCACGGTGGTTTCTCTCACAGCAAGTTTCCACTTTCTAGTCATGAGCCTTGGGTTTTAGAAGACAGCTGTAGAGTAGCTATGAATAAGTGTTGTGGGTAATTGTGAAGTGGAAGATGCTTCTGATACGGAGATAAAAAAGTTGAGGGGAGAAGCAAAGAGTAGGAATGCTGGATAAAGGGGAAGTCTTCCTGCAGATCAGTCTTTCGGGGCACAGATTCCCTTCTGAGAAATAAAGGATTAGGGA